TTTAATTTAAGACCTCTGAATGCACTTGATTTCTATAATTTTTTAAAAATTGATTTGCTCAAAATTCCCTAAGGGGCATTTTCTAAAAATTGAGAATATAACTCAGTAGCCTGCATATAAACATAATCCCAAAAAAAGTTTAGGTGTTTTGACTTAAAACCTGATGGTCCATTTTCAGCAGTAAGATGTGGAAAATCTTGCTTCTAGGTCCCGAGGATTCTTTCAATACTTGTCTCTAATTATAATTCTCCAGTCAACCCTGACTGTATTCCTAGCCTAATCCTGGCTAAACACGTCCGTCTAAAACAACGATTGGTACTAATTTATTGATAACAGGTAAAATAGATTGACCGGTCGGGCCGGTCAGGGTATGAATCAAACATAGATTAACATTGATTAATATAGACTATATGCTTCTCCTGAATGTACTACATTCATTCGAATTTTCTCGAATGAAATTCACAAATTTTTTCTGAGAAATCCTCAAGTTTTTGTTTCAAAATGTGCTCCGTACTTTCTGGGAGTTATTGCATAGTTTCCTTAGCATATATATTTCTCTTTCTATTTCTCTTTTCAGAAGAGAAATAGAAATGCTGAGGAACATCCCAAAGTCTTTTTCTATCCCACACTAATCTTGGATCCCGGCAGGAAATTTCGTTAAACATTATTCTAATAACATTATACCTAGACTCCCAAGGATGACCGATATTTATTACTCATCAGTTTTGACAGCGCGCGAGACAAGGTTGAAAAGAAGAAAAACATTTATTCATTTTAATTTATTTATGATTCTAGTTTTTTATTAGCTGTATAGAACAAACATTTCAACTCGTGGGCTGTTCTTCTGACATTTACATAAGTGTTTTATCTGATCAATGTAGTTGCCAGGGGCGTACAAGGGCTTTTGTTTAAGGGGGGCACAATTTTTTGGTCCCCCCCCTTGGCAACATTGTGCCCCCCTTAAAAACCCCTTTTTTGAAAAAATATTAATACCTTTTTTAAATTTTTTTTCCCCCCCCTCCCACCTGGACTTGTTTTGTTCACCATAAAAATACACCAAAAAGACTACATTTTTGGGTGTTACTAACCTTAGAGTCTAAAAATTAATCCTTTGCTTGAAAAACTAACTTTTTGACTTTATAAATTTATCACTTAACTCCATCACAGCTAAATAAATCAATAATCACAGCATCATTAAAAATCATATTTTTACAAATAAACGAAATTTCTTCTGAAATTTTTAGATAAAGTTTACTCAATCTACATATTCACCAACTTTTTTAAGCTACAATTTTCTGGGATTTGCTTGCAGAAACATTTCAATGATATTTTTCAGTAGAGAGCTCAGACAGCCTTATAGGGTGTAAAGATATAAGTGCAAGATCGTTAAGTCTGCTTTCCGTCATGGTACATCTTGTGTAATGAAGTATTCTCTTTAAAAGGCTAAAACTTTTCTCTCCTTGTATTAACAGTGAATTTAGACAAATCCTTAGTCTTTGTCATTGTCAGGTGTTACTTTCTAAACGTAGTTTCCTTTTAATTTTGTATTTTTGGAACTCCCAGGGGGGGGGCAAGAGGACTACTGCCCCCCCTAGGTACACCAATGTGCCTGACCTGAGGAAGGGAAATGCAAGCAGATGTAATATTAAAAGAGCCTCCCCCATGGGTGCCCCCCTCAGCCTCTTAGGGGGGGGGGCACGCATAGAGGGGGAGGAGGGCCGCGCCCCTCCCCCCTCGTACGCCCCTGGTAGTTGCCTGCATTCTCATCTATTTTTCAGTCTTAAAATTTATCAGGTATAACATTAACATATCGTCTTCATTAAAACTCTCTTTATGAATATTTTTAAAGGCCTTATTTTTGCTTTAAGCCAAGGCACAGGTTCTTCCTTATCACAATCCCCTATAGGTGAAGGCTTTTCAGCCTGACATAGTTTAAATCCTAACGTCGGACACACGACCAAATTTGAGCCATGTCACCGGTCTGATTCCTTTTGTCAGCTAGTTGCCAAACAGTTGTATTAAATACATATTTAAATGCTGATAGAGAGAATCTCCCTCCCGGTTAACTGAGTGTTTAAAAAGGGTATATATTCATGTGTTGAAACGAATAATTTTAAAATGAATTGATAAATAAGCTTATAATAAGTTATTAAGTTATAGAGAAGTGATTCATAAATTGAATCGACAAATAGATTATATGATAAATTATGAAGTTCTATAGATAGTGGGATTCATTATCGATTTATAGATAAGGGATTCATAAAATGAATCGACAAATAGATTATATGATAAATTTAAAATTATATAGAGAGTGGGATTCATTAGATGAATCGACAAAGAAATTATATGAAGGGATTCATAAAATGAATCGACAAAGAAATTATATGATGGGATTCATAAAATGAATCGATCATTTTCCACATACCTGAAATACAAAGTATAGATTATATGATGAATTTAAAATTATATTGGGTTCTACTATGTAGCAAGTTTAGTCTGTACATTCCTTGGAGCTATTCTAGGAAACTATCATTTAAAGTTTAAGTATGAAATAAAAAGTGCTTAAAATTATCGGAAACTTCATTGTTTTGATCATTGATTTAATTATCGGAAACTTCATTGTTTTGATCATTGATTTAATTATCGGAAACTTCATTGTTTTGATCATTGATTTAATTATCGCAATATTATAAAAAATTTGAAAATATTTGATGGAGTAATTTCAATTGACTCTTCACACAAGGGTACTATTTAATGTGTGGAATTCTGTTAATTTCCTTCATTGTCACTGAACTATAAATGCGCAGGTCAATTTTATCGAGGAAACCAAATATGAAAATCTTCAGAGCTGGGAACTTTAGAATGGATAACCTTTAATCCCAACTACTTAATCCGAATATCCACTGTGGAAACTTTAATTTTAGTCCATAATCCACTCTTTTTCTCTCTCTTTGGAAATAAATTCTATCCCCTGAGAGAAATCCGCAATTTCTAACAAATTAAGAAAATGTTGTCGGCCATTTTGTAAATTAATCGGTGAAGAAAAATTTTTAACAATACGTTTGAGATTCTTTTGTAACCAATTTTAACTAATGTAATGTATTAATAAATAAATGGGTAAGAAATTAAGTGAAGGCCATTCAGTCAAGAAAACGAACCAATCTGGCGTTCTTAGAATCCAATTTGTTGATATAAATATTTAATCTCAAGACTAACATAATCTCGAGATTATGTTAGTCTCGAGATTAGCAAAAACAGAGGATTAAGCATTAATCCTGATATCCACCATTCTAAAGTTCCCAGCTCAGAGCGGAAAACTTTAGAATGGGATATCCTTAATCCCGATCTGTTAATTAATCTGAAGATTAAGAACAAGAGGAGAACAAGCCTTAATTTAATCTCGAGATTAAGAAAAAGAGTGGATCAAGCAATATTCCCGATACCCACCATTCNCGGTTCAAACAATACTTACACCCGGTTCAAACTCTATATTTTCACAAATACTATAAATACTTTTAAAATCATATTATATGAAAACTAGGCTTTTCGAGCGTTTTTTCAAAATATTGGAAAATATTGCAAAATTTCATAAATTTGGGGACTGTACATATCTTTTTGTGATAGGGTTAGAGTGTACGTATACAGACTACAGTGAACAGCTGATATATAAAGGGGAGACGGATCCTGTAGTTGTGTTCTGACTTTATTTACTATTTAGTTTAGAAGAGGAATACAATTCATGCTAGTCAGGCCGAGGCAGGCTGTTGGTAGGCAGTGGTAGGCAATGACAGACAGTTTTGATAACAATTGTTACACAAAACTACTTTACCATATATATATATATATTTACTAAGTTTTCATTTAGCAAAAAACTATTTGAAGAAGATGGTTTCTTATTCCCGGCAAATATGAAATGTAAAGTTGAAAAGGAAGTTTTAAAGATTTAAACCTTTGAAATCATTGATAAAGTTTCTATTTTATAATTTTCGAAAGTGTCTACAGAGAGGGACCGTCCTTTTCCGCTCAAATCGGCTTTTTCTCCGGCCACAGTTGTCTTTGAAAAGTAAGACTATTACCAATCAACAGCGAATAGGCTTTTTAGTTTATCCTGAAATTACTAAATAATTGTGAACGCAGGGGCGTACGAGGGGGGGGCCGCGCTCCCCCCCCCCCCTCTACTCGTGCCCCCCTGAGAGGCTGAGGGGGGGCATCCATGGGGGAGGCTCTTTTAATATTACATCTGCTTGCATTTCCCTTCCTCAGGTCAGGCACAGTGGTGTACCTAG